TTGATTATTTGGTCCCCCGTTGGTGGCACTCTGTGGGAAGGTGTGGCTTTGATGAAGTACATCTCTAGGGGTGGGCTTCGAGGGTTCAGAAACCCCGCGCATGCCTTTTGGCTTTCTCTGCTTCGTACATCCGGTAAGTCCTCAGGTTCCTTCTCCGGCTCCCGTGCTCCCTGCCGACTCTGCTTCACCATCATGGCCTCTAGAGCCATCAGCTCACATGAACCATTTTTTTGTATAAGATGCTTTGGTTGTGATGGTCCATGGAACAGAGAAGCAATTAAAACAGTCCCAAGAGGCTTGCATCCTAGATCCAGTCAGTTGACCGCCAGTACTAATCAGGGCCGGATACATCTACTGTTTACTGACATGTTAGCCCGTGAGTAAGTGCGCATATGTATATGAGAGGCCAGGCCAGGCGGTTGAATGGCCTCTGCCTATTCCTTTGAGGCAGTTTTTTCCCTAAACTCGGGGTTCTGGTTTCCTCATCTTGGCTGGAAAACCACAAGCACAGGGTTCCTCTTCTCTCTGCCTTCCTCCTCCAAGGTGGAGTTACAGGCTTGTTCTGGGGATGCCCGGCTTGGTCAAAGGGTGCTGTGACCTAAATTCTAGTCCTCACAATTGTGCAGAAAATGCTCTTAAGCTTAGCCATCTGCGGGGCAGTGGTGGTGCACGCCTTTAATCCCAGCACTTGGAAGGCAAAGGCAGGTGAATTTCTGAATTCAAGGCCAGCCTGGTCTACAGAGTGAGTTCCAGGATTGCCAAGGCTATACAGAGAAACCCTGTCTCAAAAAAAAAAAAAAAAACAAAAACAAAACAAAACAAAAAAAAGAGCTTAGCCTTGTCTCACAGCCATTTCATACACTAACTTGTTTACATTTGTTTTTCTATATCTGGTCTCACTATATAGTCCAGGCTGGTCTCAGACTCACAGTCCTCATATTTCCCAGCATATGTACTACCAAGCCTGGCTTATTTTTTACTTCCATTTATATTTATTTATTTATTTATTTATTCGCTGCAGTGTTAGTCCAAACTTAAGCTCTGTAGATCTCCCTAGGCTGGTGAGAGTAAGGCTTAAATCTCAGCCATGAAACTGTCGGGAATTGGTGAGACTTCTGGATGTGGCCTGGTGGAAGTCAGGCCACTAGGGTGTGGCCTCGATATTGATTATCTGGCTGTTTCCTTTCTCTTTGCTGCCCAGCCTCCATGAAGTGAGTCATTGTCAACCCATGTTCCCACCTGACTGGATGCCTCACCATAGGCCCCAAAGCAACAAGGATGAGCGACACTAGCCTCAAATATTTGAAACCAGGAGCCCAAATAATTGATTCCCTAGAGTATCTATCTGGTCATGATAAGGCAAAGCCGCCTACCTTCACATTCTGTAAGATGCCTTTAAATTTTTCTCCCAAGAAGTCTTCCAACAGTTTACTAGAAAGAATGTAGACATTTAAAAAAAATCCCCACTGTTATGAACATAAATTGAGCTGAATTGCATTGTTTTTTTTTAAAGATTTACTTATCTTATTTATATGAGTACACTGTAGCTATCTGAAGAGGGAATCAGATCCCATTACAGATGGTTGTGAGCCACCATGTGGGTGCTGGGAATTGAACTCAGGACCTCTGGAAGAGCAGTCAGTGCTCTTAGAGCCGCTGAGCTATCTCTCCAGCCCCTGTTTTGTTTTTTTGTTTTGTTTTGTTTGTTTGTTTTTTGGTTGTTGTTTTTCAAGCCAGGGTACAAGCTGAAATCAAAACAGGAAAAATTTAAACACTCAATAATGTACTAACATTTTTTCATTCCTTTGGCTTCTGGTAGTGAAAACACAAATCTGGTATAAAATGTAGATTCTCAAGCCACAGTGCACAGTCCTTGTCTTCCATGTAAAGAGATGTAAGAGCTGAAAGCCCAAATGATACCAAATGTATAGGTTTCAAAAGCTGTCTCAGGTGGTTCACCATTTCTGGCTAAGATACATAGAAACCCTGACAAGGTGCCTACACACAATAACATGAAGCACTTCTTTTTAAGGAGTTGATTTTTAAAATTTTTATTTTATATGCGTTGGTGTTTTGCCTGCATTCATGTCTATGTAAGGGTGTTGGGTCCCCTGGAACTGGAGTTACAGACAGCTGTGAGCTGCCATGTGGGTACTACGAATTGAACCTGGGTCCTCTGGAAGAGCAGCTAGTGCTCTCAACAGCTGAGCCATCTTTCCAGCCCCATGAAGCATTTTTTTTTTTTGAAAATTAAATTTTGGTGGAACAACCCTGAAAGGTACACTGGAGGAACAACAGGACATCCGTTTAAGGTATCAGTCAGTTGGTTTCAGCCCTTTTCTGTCTGTCCTAGAATCTCAGAGTCGTTTATCCTTCCCTAGGCTGAGAGCCTGCTACAAGTCAGTAGCTGTTGTGAAGGAGCAGAGGGAGACTTGGGTGAAAAGCCTTTACTCACTACAGCTGGTATCCGCTGGCCCGAAGCATCCCAGGCTCAAAGCATCATGGAGTTCTGGAATGTTCATGCAGAAGGATATTTCTTTAGCTGATTTGAATTGCCCCGAGAGTGACCCATTATCTACCCTTTGTTGAGATCAAGCCTTTACAAAAATACCGAGGTTAGAGGTAAATACAGCATCTGCTTTTAGGGTTGCCAACCCAGAAATTCTCTCAGTCGTGAAGACTTGTAGGAGTTGTTTTGCTTTCTCAAATCTGGATGATGACAGTAATCCGTCCTCCAGATCTGGCTTTGGTTTTGTTTTTAACCGTCTTTGTCTTGTGAGTCTTCATCTGCTCCACCTACTGGCAAGTCTACATCCTTACCACCCACCTAGCCTCGCACTCAGAGATCTCCCTGCTGCTGCTTCCAGAGAGTGTTAGGATCAAAGTCCAGTGCCACCACCTCCCGGCTGGCCTCCAGCTTCTTAACTAGTGATGGCTGGCTTTGATTACCCCATCCTCGTACTGTTAAAGAACCAGTAGACCAGCAAGGAATACATCCAGAATTCCAAGATACAGAACTCTGTATTTTCCCTTTTAGTGTGCAACAGGGCTTTAGCTAATGCTTAGATCAGGACAGAACTAGAGATGTGCCATAGCTTATATAAGGTAGACAGTGTTATCATAGTCTTTTCTATATGATTGCCCTAGGGTAGTTTTTTCATCCCTACCCTATAAGAAATTTTCTACGGGACTAAGCTTTTCCTCTTTTCTCTCCTCTTCTCTCCTCTTCTCTTCTCTTCTCTTCTCTTCTTTTCTTTTTTTTCTGTTTTTTCAAGGCAGAGTTTCTCTGTGTAGCCCTGGTTGTCCTAGAACTCACTCTGTGTAGATCAAGTTGGCCTCGAATTCACAGAAATCTGCCTGCCTCTGCCTCCCAAGTGCTGGGATTAAAGGTGTGTGCCACCACCGCCCGGCGACATAGCAAGTTCTAGGACAGTTAGAGCTGTATAGTGAGACCCTGTCTCAAAACTCCTCTGTGCTGGGTAGTTTTCTGTCAGCTTGACACAAACTAAAGTCGTCAGAGAAGAGGGAGCCTGATCAAAGAAATACCTCCATAAGTCTGGGCTGTAGGCAAGCCGGTGGGACATCTTCTTAATTGATGATTGATCGTGGAGGGATGCAGCCCATTGAGGGTGGTGCCATCCCTGGGGTGGTGGTTCTGGTTTTATAAGAAACCAGGCTGATGCCGGGCAGTGGTGGGGCACGCCTTTAATCCCAACACTTGGGAGGCAGAGGCAGGCAGATTTCTGAGTTTGAGGCCAGCCTGGTCTACAGAGTGAGTTCCAGGACAGCCAGGACTACACAGAGAAACCCTGTCTCGAAAAACCAAAAAAAAAGAAAGAAAGAAAGAAAGAAAGAAAGAAAGAAAGAAAGAAAGAAAGAAAGAAAGAAAGAAAGAAAGAAAGGAAGGAAGGAAGGAAGGAAGGAAGAAAGAAAGAAAGGAAGGAAGAAAGAAAGAAACCAGGCTGAACCAGCCATATGGAGCAAGCCAGTAAGTAGCCCCACTCCCACCCCTCATCACTTCCTGCTTCCAGGTTCCTGCCCTATTTGAGTTCCTGTTCTGACTTCCTTCAATGATTTGTAATTTGAAAGTGTAAGCAAGTAAACCCCAACCTGCTTTAGTCATGGTATTTTATCTCAGCAATGGTAACCCTGACTAGGACACCACCACCACCACCACTACCCCACCACCAAAAAGAAAATCCAGGGCCATTATACACAGGTAGATACAACTTTTTTAAAGTTTGTGTGGGCGGGGCAGTGGTGGCGCACGTCTTTAATCCCAGCACTTGGGAGGCAGAGGCAGGTGGATTTCTGAGTTCGAGGCTAGCCTGGTCTACAGAGTAAGTTCCAGGACAGCCAGGGCTACACACAGAAACTCTGTCTCGAAAAACCAAAAATAAATAAATAAATAAATAAAAAGTTTGTGTGGAATCAGAAAACAAGGACAACATTTGAGTTCTAGGAATGCTTGTGACAGGGTCTCTCTCTGTAGTCCTGGCTGTCCTGGAACTCACTCTGTAGACCAGGCTGGCTTCATATTTAGAGATCCACCTGCCTCTGCCTCCTGACTGCTGGGATTAAAGGCATGCACCACCAATCCCAGGACTCGAACCCTGGTTCTCTGGAAAAGCAATCAGCTCTAGTCTGGTGGTAATAGCCCAGGCAAGAAGACACACAGTTAAAAAGTAGGATCTCAGAAAATCCAAAAGCTTCACAGAGCAAAGGAGACTGAGTGAAGGGCAGCTCTCCAGACAGGAGAAAATCTTTACAACCCAATTAGAAGCGGGTGGGGGTACGGACCTAAGCACAATGGTCTCCAAAGAAGAAATGCAGATGGCCAGGAGGAGACACTTTTTTTGTTTTGTTTTGTTCGAGACAGGGTCTCATATAGCTCTGGCTAGCTTTGAACTCACAGACCTGCCTCTGCCTCCTCAGGAGACACTTAAAATGTTTACCATCCTTATCTATTAGGGAAATGAAGATTAAAACCACTTTAAGCTCCCCCTTGGCAATGAGCAAAGAGACATCTTGTTGGTGGTGTTCTTATATCAGTCAGGGGCAGAGCAGATGGCAGTCCTTTGTTTATCCTAACTTGATGCCTGGCTTGGTGGCCAACACTGCCTTGTGCATGGGACTCATAAAAGTCAGATCAAATCCAGGCAGGACATAAAAGGGGGATGAAGACAGAGACCTGCAGACTGCCATGCCACCCACAGACCTGCCCTCCAGTGCACTGCCCAGCTGGGCCATAGACAACTGTTTGCTGCTACACCAGGCATTACTGATGGAGGATACCATCCAGGGGCCCACCAGCTGCTTGGCCAGCCTACAGTGTGCAAGTATGTGGTGCTCCAATGGCAGAGAGGGATAAGTGGAGTGGCCTGAGCAGTATGAAGAGAGATGGATCTGGAGACTGGAGGGTGCCTGACCCTGCCACCTGGGGCCATGGTGAGATCCCAGCCCCAGCTGTCACTGAGGGCCATGCCTGAGTTTGTGACTATGCAACAGCATGGGTCAGTGTCAATGTCTGACTCATGCTTGCACTAGAGAACATGGGGAAGTCTCTGGTCAGAGCAGCCATGAGGACTACATGGATCTCCAGAGTGTGTGCATAGCTGGCTCCAACCCTCACTGGATTTAGTGCTCTGGAGAGCTGGCCTCATCTCTCACACATGGCAGTACTCAGGAGAGCAGGCCCTACACCTTGCCCAGTGGTGGGGGTTTGGATGAGCCATATCCCAGGCTGTGAGTGTAGGAGAGTTGACCCTGCCACTCCTCTGGCATGGGGTGACATGGGCACAGAGGTGACGCATCTCCTGCCTTTGACCACCCCCAGCAATTGGAAAAGTTGCCCACAGAGTCATGAGCTTGGGAAAACGAGCCCTGACTTTTACCAGCTACAGCACTCAGGAGAGTGGGCCCTGCACCTTGCCTGGACAGCACAACAGAGCTGACCTTGGTGGTGAGTGTATGCATGACTCTGTGTGTGTGTGTGTGTGTGTGTGTGTGTGTGTGTGTGTACACGCGTGCATGTGCGTGCATGTGCCCCATCCCTTACTCACTGCAGCATAAGGGAGTACAGGTTCTGTACCTTGTTTGCGCAGCACAGTAGAACTGGCCCCGGAATAGAGAGAGCAGGTGAGCCAGCCCGGAAGGCAAGAATGCAGGAGAGCTGGCCCCACCACTTATCTGACATGAGGTAACATGGGGGGGGGGCACCCTGGCTCTCCCTGTGTTTCCACCTGAGTACCCAGGACAGCTGACCCTGGGGTCACGAGAGGAGAGCTAGCCCAGCCGCTCACAAGCAGCAGCACTTGGGCAAGTGGCCCCCCCAACTTTGACTTGACAGCACAATAGAGCTGGCTCTGGAGTTGTGGGTGCGAGTGAACCTGTGGGGATTGAGAGCAGGAGAGCTGACCCTCCCTCCTGCAGAAGGCAGCACTCGGTGGCCTAGCTGGAGCCATGCTAGACAGCTTTCCCTGGTGGTGCAGATAAGGGAGAGTCAGTGGGTCGACCAGTTCAGCTGCCACCCAGGCCCATATATTCAGGGCTCTGAATTGGCCCATCCCCAAATCTGTATAATTTGCAAATAGTTGGGATGTGTGAAAGGCCCAGTTCTACTGTTTCAAAGCTGCAGGATCTCCATGACACAGGGCAACAACAGGATAACTGGGAGGAGTTCTGATGAGGATCCAATATTGATGGTGTTACAGAAGCCAGAGAGACCTCAAACCAGACCAATGACTCACTGCAGTGAACATTTGCATGCGAAGCTGTGTGGACAGAGGGATGTACTGTGGGACACGCTGTGACACACTACAGCTTCCACGATGAGATGTTTTCTATTGTTTTAGTGTTTTGTTTGTCTGTTTGTGTGTGTGTTTTATTTTTCAGGAGAGGTTGCAAGGGTGATGAGCAGATATGAGGGGAGGGGGAGATGAGCGGGACTGGGGTACATGACGTGAAACTCACCAAGAATTGATAAAAAGTTTTGTTTTTTTAAAGATCACTTTAAGATCTATCTCAGTGCTTGCTGCAACAGCACAAGGAACTTGAGTTGGAATAATACAAAGAAGATGAGTGTTTTGTTTGGTTTGGTTTTTCGAGACAGGGTTTCTCTGTGTAGCCCTGGCTGTCCTGGAACTCACTCTGTAGACCAGGCTGGCCTTGAACTCTTGAACTCAGAAATCCACCTGCCTCTGCCTCCCAAGTGCTGGGGTTAAAGGAGTGCGCCACCACCGCCTGGCTGAGTGTGTTATATTAAAGGATGACATGCAGGGAGGAAGGAAGGAAGGAAGGAAGGAAGGAAGGAAGGAAGGAAGGAAGGAAGGAAGGAAGGAAGGAAGGA